CTCCAGCTGCTTTGTTATTCTAAGCGGGAGGGGGGGGTTCAGCCGCACGTCCTCGCACTCATCCAGCCCCCCCCCAGCCCCCCCAGGGACATAACTGTGAACTTAACACACTCGGCCCTGATGACTTCCCTGATGGGGCGAGAAACGGCCAACTCCACAGCTGTAATGTTATTGCTGGAGCGGGTTGAATGTTGCATTGTTCCTGTGGTTTACAGTGTGTGTGTGTGTGTGGGTGTGTGTGTGTGTGTGTTAGTTACACATTTAGGGGGAGGGAGGGGGAAGTAAAAGTGTGGATGTCACTCCCGCTCCGATCTCTTCTCAGTAACCTGAAAATTGCCCGGGTGGGGTGAGGAGTTTCTGAGCGACTTTGTGTTTGTGTGTGTGTTTGTATGTGTGTGCGCTTGCGCGTGTGTGTGTTTGGCAATAGAGTGGCCCCGTTGTACATGAAAGTGCGAATAGGAGCTGGGGAAACCAAATAATTAGGAGGGAAGGGGAGGTGAGGCAAGAGAGTTTGTGTTTGAGAAGTGGAGGGCGGGTGGGGGAGGCGTACTCAAAACACAGAGGAGTCCAGATCAGAAATAAAACATAAAAAAGGGGGGAGAAGAAGCAGGGGAGGGAGGAGGGGAAAAAGGGAGGAGGGATGGCGCTCCAGTGTGTTATGTGTGCGGATCTTATGAAGTGATCGCAGCCGGGGAGTAAATTGTGTGAGCCCAGAGAGCACAGCGCCGCATGTTCAAGCTGGCACTTTTGATTTAGACGGGCTTCTTTTTTTTTTTTTTTTCCTCTGCTACAAGATCTTGTTTTTTATTATTATTAACAGCTCAGACAAAGGCAGGGGGAAAGAGCCAAAGAAAGAGAGGACGCTCAGTGAATAGATGCTGCGCAGCAGAGGAAGAGAGGAAGCGGCGCAGAGTTTCCAGCCGCCGTTCCCCTGACTGCAGACGATTTTTTCCTTTCTTTAAGGGGGAGATTTAAATACAAAAAAAAAAAGGACAAAAGCCGCTCTCCCCCAAACCCCTCCTCCTTCTCCGTCCCAACCGCCATCCGATCACCGGCGCCGTCTTTTCCAGCATGCGTGCACGTGAGGACGCCGGCCGTGCGCGGCGCTGAGCCCGGGAAGGCATGGACTAAGAGATGATGCAGCCGGGGGCTTAGTGTGAGCCCGCACCGCAAAAGCCCCTTCCCTTCACCCAGCGAATCCAGAGGAGAGACTCCGGGGGGAGGGGGGAGGGAGGGAGGGAGGGGGGTCAAAGCAGAGGAGGGGTGAGAAGACAAGAAGGGGAGGGAGGGGGGGGGGGGGTACCCTCTTTGGATTATTGCAGAGGGTCTTCCTCTTTCCTTTTTTGCGATTCCTTTTTAAAAAAACAAACAAACATTTTTAATTACATTTTTTTAACCCCCCCGCCACCCTCCACTCACCTCAGTCATCTTCTGTTTTGGCTGCGATGCGCAGGTCTTTGAGCCTTTAAGAATGTGGAGGCAACATTTTCCAGGCAAGCAGCATGTTTCCTGTTTTCTTTTCTGGATGTCTAATAAAGTCTGGCATGTGGGGAGGTGGGAGGGAAGTAGGTGGATGGGGAGAAGAGATTTGTGAGGGGGTGGGGGGGGTTGTAGGGGGGTAAGAGGAGGGGAGAAGTTTGTGCTCAGTGTGAGCTGTGGCCATGGAGGTGGCTGCCCGCCTCCCGCCGCTTCACCTGGCTCTCCGGGTTTTTGCTCCCTCTGTGGTCCGGCGTGCTCTGTAGTTAGGGCAACGCGAAGACTAAGAGCAGGAAAGTAGAGGCAGTTGACACTTGCTTTTGTCCCGGGCTCAAACGCGGTCTCTGGCTCCATTTCCAGCATGCGTGCGCTCATTTTCTCACTAGGGGACGGTCCGGCGTGGCGCTCAGGGGTGGGGCACCGGCAGCCCCAGGACAAGTGGCCTTTGTACGCTGCTTTTGGTTGGAGTGAAGGGGAGGGAACAGCAGGGGGAGAAAGCTGCCAACAAAGGGTGCCTATACCCGTCCCCCCCCCCCCCCCCCTCCCCCCCTTTTCGGCCGATAACACCCAAAAACCAGGGGCCCCGGGCCCCCCCCGCCGGGGGGGGGGGGGGTTTGCGAGCGGGCGTCAGACTCGGGGACGTCAGAGCGCCGTGCGAAACTCCGCCCAGGAGAACAAAGTCTAGTTTAACTTCATGGCACATCTGTGCGTTATCTAAAGCTTCTGCTTTGCCCAAACAGTTGAGCCCCTCCCCGGCACCCGGCCAAGGTTCTGCGTCGGCTCCTGTCCATTAGTCCCGTCCAGCAGCTGCATTCCTGCTGGACGGCCGTAGCTTCTGTGGCACATCATTGCTCTATATGTTGTCAAATCTCTCCACCCCATTGTTTTTGCAACTGTCTTGTTTATTCGTGACTTTGTGTGCGTCTGTTATGGTGATAAATGCGGCCGTTTGGAAAGGCTAACCGGCGAAATCGCGCTTTATCTGTGAATGAAAAGTACGGCAGACGGTTCTTTTTCTTTCTTCTTTTTTTTTTATCTCAAGTCAGTTGAGCAAAAATTTCTAGAAAGAACTTAAGCCAAACAACAGCCCAAGTTTCTGCTTGGCCTTTAAAAGTTGCAAGCAGGATTGTGTTTAATGAGCAGCAGCTGATGCATTAGAAGTTTGATACTTTGTTACATCCAGAGGCCAAAAAGGGGCATACAGTGATGAATAATGTCTGATCTGAGTGTTTTCTATATTTTTTTTCTGCTGCAAAGAAAGCAATGCAATTGTTTGATTTAATTTTTGAATTAGAGAATGAAAAGTAAAAATCCAAATCCAAGTGGACTTTGTCCATTTCAACTTTATTTAATGTGTTCACATGTGTTAGAGATATTTCCCACTTTAACATTCAAAATGGGAATGACTTATTTCTGACCCCCCCCCCGGTTGGCTGAATGGACCGGGTAGGGGGGGGTGTGGGTCACGCTTGATTCAGGGTGGCTCGGTAAAACGACCGTAACCGTCGGCGGTCGGCAGACGCCGACCGCGTCGTCAAGACGGAGCAGCTTGGGGTTGCTAGGTAACGGCTGGCAGCAGATGATGACCGCGCGGTGGAGTGGCTCGCCTCGTCTCCCATTACCGCCTTTCTGTCCCGCTCTTATACCCTCTCCTGTCCTCTTCTCATTTTCTTCTCTCCTCTTCTGACCACATCACATTTCTCATTTTCCCCGCGAAGCCCCCCACCCCCCCCCCTCCCTCCCTCCATCCCCCAACCCTTGTGTCGGAGGCAACTTAACACCAGCGGCAGAGGCCAGTGGTAGGAAGAGGCTCCCGGCTCCCTCCACCACATAATGGAAACTCTGGCCTCATCTCCCAGCGCAGCTCTGCTGCGTCCTGCTGCCAGACTCTGACTAAGTGCTGCTGGCCCCGGAGCCCCAGCCCGGGCAGAAGCCTCGTCTGCAGGAATTATTCGACTTACTCAAGCAGCGAGACGCCGCTAAATAAAAGCGGGAAAAAGGCTGATGCTACAAATTCTTGTTGCCTGGATAAATTAGTCTTAAGCCTTTTTCTCACGGCAGGCCTAGTTTTCCAAAATAATTTTCGACGCGACCCAGTTCTCGTTTTTTTTTTTCCTAAGTGGTGTGCACTCTAATTGAGTAAAATGTTCTATTTTCACACTAACTTAGGTCACCGCATTTTCATGCAGGGATTTGAAATTATTTGAACAATGAACGTCATTTCAAAATATAATTTCAAGCCCCATTTTTAACATCCCGAGACCCACATAAGGAATCCTTCCTGCAGCGGAGAAGAAAAAGCAAATCTGTCCCAAAAGCGCGTTTTGGAGTCATTCTTCCTGAATTATTCGTCACACCGACAGAAAGAGAGGCACTTGTCTTCATTTTGAGCCGAGAAAAAAATGAGTTGTGTGCACAAAATCATCAGTGATGTGGCTGGTTTGGACAAGCCCGAAAAACAATCATTTAATGACTCGGTTAATAACGTCGCAGAGTGGAGTTTATCTCCTATTATTTGTCAAATTAACTAAGCAAACATGGCTACAAGCTCCGGTTGCTTTGTTGGAGTGTTGATTTGTCTCCGGCTCTGACACAACGCAGCCTATGCAATTAATTAATTTTTTTTTCGGTCGGGCGAAATAATTTGAAGTCTAATCACCAGTGTGGAGAATCATTAGCTCCAGCTCCAGATCTGACAGCGTATATCATTACACAGACGCAGCGGGGACTGTGCGGATGTGTGAATGTGTGTTGCGCGTTCCTTTTGGCAGGTAAACCCACAATTGCATCTGCCTCCCTTTGTGAAAATGAACTCGTACACAATCATCTCATAAAGAACCAGCCGTACACACACTCACTCGCCGGCTGGCAACAGTTTAGCGGCAAGCAGAGCAGGCGAGAAGATGGAGGAATGAGAGGAAACGAGGGAGGGGAGGGGAGGAAGGGGGGGGGATTCATTATGGGATGAATGAGAGTAAGAGCACGCTGACAGGCCTCCTAAAAAACTCTGCAGTCCTCTGCCCTCCTGAGAGGACATTTGTTGGCATTTAACGCAGCGTGTCAGAGTTTGACCTCCTCTTGCTTCTCCTGTACTTTTTTGGGGGGGGTTTGTCGGCCCCGGGTCCCCAGGAGGAACATGGCCGACCTGATGAAAACTCATCTCGTTCAGGACGAGGCGCTAAAACAAGGAGATTGAGGGCGCGCTTCGAAGCGAAAGCCCCACAGACCCTCGCCAGTTTGTTACCATTCCAGAGAGGTCGAGCTGAGAGGAAAGATAAACAAACCTGAAGGCGACAATGAGTCCAAATTGTGAGGAATCTGTTTGACGGCTTAATGGCGCAAAACGATGTTTTTAGCTCGCAGTCGGAGTGGATGGAGCGCGGATAAGTGGTTCTCACAGCACCGCAACGCTTTCCTCATGAAGCTTAGATTAAAAAAGAAACATGTTGCAGAATAAACTGGCTCACAGTGTGTAAAGAGGTTCATTAAATCAACCTTAAACATTGACAGCAGTGAAAGGCAAAATGCCCGCAAAGGGTAAATGTTGGACAGTGTTTTAACAAAGGGAAATATATGGATTCTGCTGTGAGCCATCTGTGATTGGACAATGTCTGCAGATTGCTCTCAGTCCTCCCTTTAAAGGTCAAATGATAATTGGACAAGCGGTTATTAGGACTCGTTAGAACACGTCCTCACTGTTTTTAAAAGACTCGTTTTATTCTCAGACCTGTGTTAGAATCTTTTCAAATCAAACTGGTAATTAGGGACGTGGACGTTTGTTATGACTCAGTTCAAATTTGCC